GTTGAACTTTGAAGTCTTAAGCAGGGACTTTAGCTTAATCTGCCCCCCACTGATCCGCAGGCTTATCCGCCTCGCTCTCTCTCCCCACGTCTTGTTTACCTTTCCCCCCCTCTTCTCTGTGTTCATTTCCATCATCCAGGAGGAGAGAAAGAAAACCCTCCACCTCCCAAAACAAAGCTAAAAATAAGAGGATGACAGGAGAGACGAGCGACGGAGCTGTGCTAACGGCGACACACATAAATGTGTTTACACATTCGTAAACTCAGCGCTTGTTCCTGAGAAACCAACAATTCATTTCTGGTTCTTGTGGCTGATTTTTATCTGAGACCGTTTAATATATAATTGACGCTACAAAAATGATGCAGAGATTCCATTCACATTTGCCCAAATCCTCGCATCTATAGGGAAATGTTGAAATATAGCACATGCTAACAGCGCTAATGATGCAAGCTAACACTACAAGTAAGGCATAGTGTTGAAAGACATGACGTGCGAGTTATGCTAATGCTGGAAGCTATCACCAGAAGCTAACATTACAAGTAAAGAAATGCAACATGCTAGCTGCTTTAAGCTGCAAGCTAATGCAGCTTCATGCTACTTATGCTAACTTCAATCTAATGCTACAAACTAACATTACAATTAGGTAAATGCTGAAAGAAGCCACGTGGTAGCTATGCTAATGCTGCAACCTAGCGTTACGAGCTAACAGTACAAGCTAATGCTATGTCACAGATGTTTGGGAGCAAATTCAAAAGGTCTTGGCAAAATTCTGGTCACTGCAGCATGAAGAACTAAAACTGATTCACCAACAAATCTGGTTTAAAAGTTACCAATACTGCAAGAAAATGTTCATCTATTTTTTAGTTATTTTTACAAATTACGACCAAGAGTGCCATCAAATCTGGGGGACACTTTAAATCATTATAAAATAACTTTACAATGTTTTAAGCTACCAAATTAGAAATACTTTCAGTGAATGATTCAGAATAGACATCTTTTCCAGATGTTGACGAGCCGTTGTGTTTTCCTGTTAGTTTACTCTTGATTCCAACAAACTTTTAAAACACCAGATTTATAGACGATCAAATAATCAACTGGACTTTAAAAGCTGCTTCTGGCGACTGCTGAGGAAGCGGCAGGAGTACATTTCGTTTTTCCATCACTGAACCTGATAAATCCTTGGTTCACCTTTCTGAAAGGGAAGCAAAATGTCTGTCCGAGTTTCATGCGAGCTAAAATAAATTTAAAATGAGTTACAGCTTCGGTAATAAAATGCAGAAACTCAGTCTCCTCTGTCGCTGAAGATAAGCAGAGATCGAGAGCGACTGCCGTTTTGCTGACTGAGCATTTGTGCCGAGGCTCCACATTCGGGAGTGATAAAAGAAAAAAGATGAATAAAAAGTTATGAAGTATGATGTAACCAGGAAGCGGGGGAAGCAAAACAGCATGTCCAATATTTATGAGTGAGCACAAAACAACAGAAAACCTAAGCGGCCATGTTTTCAAGTCTTTTTTTTTGAACATTAACGTTTTCTGGCCATCACAAGTGAAAATGGATGGAAATATGTTGACATCATAACGTTGCTCATATGTTCTTGGATTTATTGCCTTGGCCTCCACTGTTATGTCTGAAAGCAGGAGTAATAATCACTGAAACTCTGAACCGGTCAGACTCAGGTTACTTCAACTAAATCTGTCCCATTTTTATGGCGTTTTCAGGCAAATGATGAGTTTTATTCATGAACAAGCCTTAAAAAATGCAACTTTAAACTATGAGTTGCAGCAAGATAAAAAAAAGCTTAGTTTTTAAAAAAATGTGACAATTTGATTGATTAGAAAACTAAATCTACATCTTTGCCCCCTGTTTGCCATTTGAAAAAATGCAGTTATTTCCAAAACTTTTCCTTTTTTTCTTAAAAAAACTATTAAGCACTAATCTGTCATTTATCAATAACAACAAATAAATCAACAAAGTTTCACAGGTGAAGTTCAACACTAAATATCAGGCTAATCTTCTGACATTTCACTGAAATGAGTCCTACTCCCTTTTCCCAACATGAATGTCAAACTTCCTGCGTAGAGGAGCAATAACAGGAAGCAGGAAGCAGGTGTTGACACAAGAGGTGAAAGGTTACAGGAAGTGGCTGCATGTGGGTAAATGGTCAGCTATTGAAGTTAAAAACAATCCATCTGAACAAAAGATCAGAGAGGCTAAAAAACTAGCAGAAAACGAAACTCCAGATCAGGTTACAGCTTTTAATGAACATCTGAATTAATATCTGCTTATAAGACATGATAAAAGTAAAAACTTTACAGCTGATTTTTAAAAAAGTTTGAGATATCTTTCCTCATATTGCACCTTTATGTTGTTTTTTTTCAATGTTTTAAATTGTCAAATTTAGGTGAACTTACCGTTAGCATGTTGTCCTTGTTCGTATCAGAATAAAAAAAAACATTTTGCAGTTTTCTTCTGCATTTTCTCAAAAAAGTGGATGAACTAATTTATGCAATTTGGCAGTATACAGATAAAACGTCCACATAAAAATCTCTGGTGGGCTGGATTTGGCTACCGAACCTCATGTTTGACGTAAACCATTCACCTCTGCAGACGCTTTAAAAATGCTAATATTCTTGAATTGCAAGAAACCAACGTTAAAATGTAACACGCAGAAGAATTTACAAGGAATTACTTCAGACAAAAATAATTTCTATAATGGCTGTATGCAAATTTAAAGGGAAAATTTAGGTTTTGCTTCCTGTTGTGCTTCCAGTTTGGTTTCCTAAAATAAACAGTCCAAGTTCTAAACAAAAACGAACAAAGAACCGTCCAGCAGTTTTTTTGGCAATAAGTGAACGAGCCGCTTCAAAAACCTCCAGAACGTTGAGTCAAAGCTGACGTTACCTAGCAACCCCGGCAGAGTTCCGCCCGTTACCTAGCAACCCCAGCAGAGTTCCGCCCGTTACCTAGCAACCCCGGCAGAGTTACCGCTGTACAATGGCTGAAAAAACAACTGTTTTGCTGTTCATTTGCTATCCAGAAACTACTTGTTTGCTGTGCAGGAGGTTCCACTAATGCTTTTCAAAGCTGTAAGCTTGTATAATTGCGCATCTGTTTGCAGCCATTTTCGCGTTTGAGTGTAAACGATGAGTTTGGGGGTCCAGAGTATTTGGATTTGAAACGACAAGATGCCCTGAAACAGCTCAAATCTCATTACCTAAGAATGATTTTGTGCACAGAAAATGTCATGAACAGGTTTTGTATAGGCCATAACTGTAACCTGTTCAAAGAAGCATAACGGGGTGTGATGGACTTGTTTCATGAGAGTTCAAACTTTAAACAATACCAGTTGTTGTTTTTTATTTGACTTCCACGCCTCATGATTTCACGCCGGCCTCCAGAGGAATCCGCTCGGCCCATAAATCGTCTCCTGTCCCGCTTCGTGTCCTTGAAGCGTGCCGAGTCGTCTGTTGGTGTCGTTGCTGCTCGTCTTTTCTGTCCGTCTGCAGCTGCTTCTCAAGCTGCAGGCCGCCGTCACTCCGCAGCTGTCGGCTAACGAGCGTCCAGCTCGGCGCTCCACCCATCTATCTTCATGTCTGCAACACTTTTTATTCCCATTGTTCCTTTTTTCCGGCTGTTATCTGTTGTCTTCCCCCTTGCCTCCTCTGCCGGGACCAGAGATCCCGGCGCCGCGGCTGCCGGCCGCGCGCCGCACACGCGGAGCAACGAAGACGACATTTTACACACGGCTGAAACCGTAGAGGCGCCGCGGTTCACAGATTCATCTTTCAGAGGCGCACACGTCGGATCGGGGCAGGAATGTCGCATCACAGCCACGCTGTGGTACCAGCGGTGTCCAAAGCGTGGCCCGGGGGCCGTTTGTGGCCTGGGGGTGGTTTTTCTTTTAGTGCAATTCAAGAATGATACTAATTTATTTACTAGATGTTTTTAAGCTGCAGTATGACTTTCATACACAAAAGGCTTTTATATATTTGTTAAAACATATAAACCAAGTGGAGTTGAGCTTTTCAATCTGTGAAAAGTTTGATCTCCTCCCACCAAAAACAACTCAGTGATTTTGGCCTGCCTGATGAAAAGCTTAAAGAGAAGTCTGGGAAAGTGTGAGTTACTCATCGATGCATGTTTTTAATCCAGCAGAAGTTAGACAAACATTTATTATTATTGTTTTCACGCTCCAGGTTCTTCTGGAAAACTTCAGAGTCCAGCGGCGTTGGAGGTTATTTTGGAGCCGGAGTTTCTCTGTGTGTCATCAGATGCGGCACAAACCCATTTAGTTGCTGCTCTGACTTGGTATAAATAGCCTGAAGAGCAACAGGGGGATTCGCCTGTTTTATAAGAGTCTAAATATCAGCAGCTATTAGCCGCCTGTCTCCCTGCGGCTTCTCAAATCATCCAGAACCGGATTACCCGGCTGCCAGTCGGCCAGCGGCTGCAGCGCTCAACATAAAGACGCCGTTTTCACGTTCAGTTCCAATGAAAAACTAAATAGTTTGTAGCAACTGAAGTTCAACGCAGGAAGCTTCGGAGCGCAGTAACGAAACGCGCCGAGCAGCAGGTCGTGTCTGCGAATCCTGACCGCCGACGTCTTCCTGTCAGGACGCAGATTTCCTGTGAGCTCTGGGTCGGAAAATACCCTGACCTTTGACCTCTGACTTCACTCTCATTTTGTAATTGCTTGTGAAAACGGAACAAACGTAACAGGAACCTCACCTGCTGCTGGAGAGACCAACCGGCAGATACATTTAACTATTTATTTATTGATGATGAATTTCTTCCGTTTAGAGGATAAATCACAACCTGGCAACAAAACTAGTCAGAAGTTAGAGATGTGAAAAAAAACTCAATATCAGAAAGAAGTCATGATATTAAGAGAAAATGTAATATTACAAGAAAAAAAATTGTTATGACATGAAAAAAACATTTAAATATAACAAAAATAAAGTATTATTTTGAAAATGAAACAACTTTTCATATTCCACAGCACCAAGAAACCAGAACCAGAACCGATTGGGCCGTCAGAAGATCCCGCGATACCAAAGCATCACGATATTTCTCTCTGACGTTACTGCTAGCTAGTTGCTACTAGCATGGCTCCATATGATGAAACTCTGATAGAAAACACACAAATCAATTTTCTTTTCCTTGGTGGATTTCCAGCAGGATCAATAAATGGCTTCAAAACGAAAGGAAACCAACAACAAGCAACGCAAGTTGCTCAACAAGAGGCAGGAAGTGTCGCCGTAGCAACCAGTGGCTGGCCATCTAAGGGTTGTTGAATGACATCATACCGAACCTGATCAATAGCAGCTGGGAAACGATCAGGCTGTGATTAGCTGGAGTCTTGAAATGAAAGCAGAGAGAAAAAAAAAACCAAACATCACAAGAAGTTTGTGGCAAAAAATCTATAAAAATGCAGAATAAAAGCCTCTTTGGAGCATAAATCTGATCATAAAATCTCATTTGGTTTCATTCTCATGAACTTCTTATGAATAAAGTGTTTAGTGCTGCACTCTAAAAACAACTTTCCTTCATAACAAGCCTGACTCTGAAGAGTAATCAACAGATTCCTGCTGCTTCTTTGTTGGAAATGAAACCAGCGTCAACATCGTTTTGTGATGCGAGTTTTTGCCTCGTGGAGGAAAAGATGGTTTCTCTCACGTCTTTACATCCTGCTGATGCATCCAAACAAGAAACAACACTGAAAAAACGACAGCACTTCTGTTTGATCCAAATCCTGCCCGGCGTGTTTGGTCCAGCTTTCAGCTGACGAATCTGAAGGGATTGTTGGTTTAGAACAAGTTAGTTTTGTTTTGTAAGGTTTTCTGTTTTTGCAGTGTGGGCCTATATGGCTGTGACACAGATTCATAGAGTTACCTGGAAAAGATGTAATTAATTGTTATCGTCAGTTTTAGACAACTTTAATTTCACATTTGCTCTATGGAGGATTTTTTTTAATGCAACAAATTAACAGAAACTCTCCCCGAAGCGACTATTTTCCTGGAAAAATCCTTCACACATGCAACTCTGGTGATGAAAAGTTAATATTCAAGGTTTCTTTCAAACCTCAAATTAAACATCAGGGAATAAATTGTACAAACATGATGAATTATCTACGCTTCACTTAGTCCTCGTCAGGGCTGGAGCAGGGCAGCGGGCCAGAGGTTAATGAACAGGAGGCGGGGTAAAAACCCAGGACACACACACACACACACACACACACACACACACACACACACACACCCACACACACACACACACACACACACACACACACACACACACCCACACACACACACACACACCCACACACACACACACACACACACACACACACACAGAGTCCGAGCGCCAGGTAACCAGCAGTCACGGTTTTCTAAGGAAGGAAACAAACTGCTGACCTATTTTCTGCTCACAGCTGCAACAGCCCATAATAAATCATTTTACTGCTAAATTCCACTGCAACCAAATGGAAAGGTAATTATGATAAACATTATGTAATCTAAATATGACTCTAAATGTTACAAGGATTCAGTTCATCCACTGCTTGGATATGCTATACAAAAATTCTCTTAATTGTTTCCGTTTCTGGATAATTAATTACAGAAAGTCTCTTGAAAGTTGAATTTATTGTGTTTAAACATAAAGCAGCTCATTCGCCATGACGGACACCAAAACAAACTTTTAACCTCTATAACAATACATCGCTTTTATGCAGTTGGTTTCACTTTAAAAATGCACAAAAAAGACAAAAATGAAAACCAAAGTTATTATTTCGCTGTAAACTTTTGATCTGTGTTGCCAGATCTGACAGTTCGAAGCCCAAAAACAACACAAAAGCCGCTCGAATCAAAAACCCAGAGCAAAACTCGACCTGCAGTGAAATCTACTGTCACAATAAGACGTGGTTTTTTGTGGCGATATCTCCTTTTAACTCATGTCTGGCAGATTCAAGAGATTTCAAAATCAATTAACTAACAAGACAAATGCAATAACATGGATTTGTATTAAATGTTTTGCATGTTTGTCCCACACAGAAGAAACCTTTTAAAAACTCACTAAATGTTGTGAAAAACTACATTTTAACAACTGGAAACCCGTCCAACATGGCAACCAAAGGGAGACGTTGATGCATGACGGTCCTCTGATGAGGAAAGAAGGAAAACGTTGTTAGGTAACAACAATGTTCTGGATCAAAGTGGATCCAGAACATTTTACTGACTTAAAGCACGCTGCTATTTCTTGCTAACAGGTTACTTGTGATTTAGTTTCTGTCTCATTTCCGATATTTGCTCTGGAAATTAAACCAAATCTACCAAAGGTTTTGTTTTTGCGATGCGAACGCTGCGTTTCCTGCAGGATGTCCAGCGCTCTGGCCCGCGTGGCAGTGCGTGTCAGCCTGCAGTTCATGCGACACGTGCGGTTTACATGTTCACACCTCCGACGCGACATCCTGTCCGACTGCATCTCGTCTCTCCTCCGGCTCCGTCTCCGTCCTTCTGCCCCTCCAGCATCTTTTCTGGGTTTACAGTCCAGCAAATCTGCTTGCAATCATGGATTTTCCTCCCAATTTGTTCCTCATTAAGTGACGGAACATTTTCTCTTGTGTTTTTTTTGTTTTGTTAGAGCGAGCACACCTACGTCACTGTTCTTGAGTTGCCTCTCGGGGTTTATGGTAAAACGTTTAAGAGGGCTCCTAAAAGCTCCTCGTAAAACCGGGAGAATATCGTTCTTAAATTAAAAGCTGTTCATCTCAACAGGGATGCTTCAAACCTACTAAAAAAACGAGGCCCGGGCCAGAAAACGGGTTTTCTGCTGATTTTATGCACCTTGTTTTCACACTGCAGGATTCAGAGACCTGCAGGAAAAGGGGAAACCTTTCGACCTGCCGGCTTTTCCTGAATTCGTTTAATCCAACACCAACAAAAGCGTCGCTGTTCCACAAACAGCAACACTTTTATGTCAATAATTCTTCAATATTGAGACCAATACTTGTTCCGTTGGCCGATTATTTTACTTACGAGAACATTTTGATCGATAGTTATGTAATAGAAGCTCCTACGTGTAAATTAGTAAACTTGAAGTAAAACAAAAGTAAAATGTTTGCACTAAAAACTAGACAGAAAATACTAGAAACGTACAACTAGGAGTAAATTTCCACCAAAAATCTGGGAGATTAACAAGAAAATGTCCGACACCGAAAAGTCAAAAAATTCCACTAAAGTTTTGAGATTAATCCCAGAAACGTTTCAAGTTTTTAATTTCAGGATTTTTTTTCTAGAAAATCTTCAACTTTTCAAACTCAGAAATTTACTTCTTTTTGTAGAAAAGTTTTTGGCAGAAATGTTATTTTTTTCATTTGAATGTAAAAAAATTAATGGAAATGAACAGAAACAAACCAGTTTCAAGTTACTGCACAAGGATGAGGTTTCAAAGGTTAAAGTTCAGCAGACGCTAAAGGAATGCTAAATAACACATGTTAGATAACAGCATCGTTTCATATCGGCCCTTGCTGCTTAACACTAAGCAGTGTTAAGCTCCCAGTGTCGCTTTTCACAATAAAAGCACCAGCCAGCCGCCCTGGTTCTGTTGCCACACACACAGACGGACCTGTTTGACGCGGTCCGGGTTGACGGTGGTCTGCGGCTGCAGGATGCTGACCGGTTCTGTCTTCTGGGTGCTCTGAGGCATCTCCCTCACCTTCTCGGCGATGAAGTCATGGACGCCGTTCAGCGCCTCCACCGTCCCCTGGATCAGACACACCCGCTCTGTCGTGCCTGAAAACACACAGAGCGAAGGAACGTTTCAAAACTTAGCAAACACCAACTTATCAATTCACAGCTGCAGGCTTAACTTTTGCAAAAATGTTAAGCCTGCCACCATTTCGCCACAACATGAGGCAGATGCAAAAAAATCAAGTTTATTCTGCAGCACAATGCAGCAACAAGGCAGCTCAGAAGTAAAGTCACAAAAACACCAAACAGACACCAAACTGAGAAACCAATAATATTCCATTTTGTCAAAATCATCAATATACACCAAATAAATTGATCTTTACATAATGAGATCTTAATTTGCTCAGTTCTGCCTACCTTGAGTTTTTTAGGCTGCTGTTACTTTAAATTCAAAGAAGCTGTTGCTGCCCCCCCCTTCCAAACCCCAACTCAACATCTACACCCAAATGTGAAAATGGCCGCAAACAGATTCACAATTATACAACCATTCAACCCTGAAGAGCATTAGTGGAGCCTCCTACACAACTAACAAGAATGCAGCCAGTGTTTTCTGGACGGTAAGTCAACAACAAAACTTTCGTCTTTTTCCAGCAGCCATTGTACATCAGTAAAACCAGCTGACCAAAGAAGCTGGTGATCTGCCCGGGGTTGCTAGGTAACGAGAGGAACTCTGCCGGGGTTGCTAGGTAACGGGCGGAACTCTGCCAGGGTTGCTAGGTAACGGTCGGCGCCTGCTGATTCGTTACATTCTAGTTTTTTGTAACGACTCATTTTCTTGGCAGACACAAAATAAAAAATAGAAACTTGTTGAAAACAGGATGAGTGTTTTTTATGCTCTGCCTGTTTTTAAGAAGCAGGAGAAACCCAAATGGAAGTTTGAAAGAAACCTTGCAAATGTTTTTTTTTTTTTACTTCTGGGTCAGGAAAGGCACAGTTTCCTCTTTACTATCGAGGAAACAAAAATGTATGGGAGAACATTGGAGCACATCCTCCTGCGAATACTTGAGTCCTTTTCTAAAAATGGTTCCAACTGCCTCCAAATATACGTCAGTATGAATCAATCCACATGGAAACCGTCTCGATTCTCCTGTGGAAACATAAAGTCTTCCTTGTCGCCCCTCTTGGGGTTCAGATAATCCAGGAGGAAAATAAAAGGCCCTCCTGGATTGGCTGTTGTTCCAGCCAACAGGAAGTCATCACTGGTTATTCCAGCTTCCCAAGCTGCATTTTCTGCAGAATATTTCAGAAATAATCCACAAACAGGCGGGGAACCGAAGCAAAACCTCTCAGTCCATCTCACCAGGAAACATTTTCTCTCCTGTATTATTTTTGTTCCTCCGTTCTCTTTTCTCCGAGCCCGGACTCTCCAGAGGTTTCTGGTCTTATCGCGGCCCAGCAGCGGGTCGGTTGGCTCTCCCCCCCACCGGCACCGTTGGACCCGCTTGGCCCGGTTCAGCCAGAAACATCTGTGTTTGTGCCAGAGAGGGGGAGGAATCTGTAGCAAAATGGCCACCAATGCCAATGGAGAAACAAAACAAGCTGAGCGGAGAAGATTTGTGGCGCCAAAGGACTAAAAATAAACCAGCATTTGTGTCGCTGTTAGCAACATGTTGCTCCTGGTTCATTACACCGTCACTACCGTGCATTCCTGTTGTTACAGCCTGGTAACAAACAGGATCTGGTCTTAAGAGCTGAACATGGAAATCAGGCGTCCAGCGAAGCCATTTGTTGTTTTATTCTGCTTTTTTTCTCCTTTTCTTTTGGAAAAACCCATTGACCATTGAAGTGTGTGTGTGTGTGTGTGTGTGGTGTGTGTGTGTGTGTGTGTGTGTGTGTGTGTTTGAGAGAGAGAGGGAGAGCGTCGATTCTGAGGAAACTGGGCCTCGCCTCTCCCTGACAGCTGGTGCCCTCTGGGTAATCTCCAGTCGTCCAATCAGAGGCCAGGATTAACAGGCCATTGTCTTGGCATGAGAAAGTGTGTGTGTGTGTGTGTGTGTGTGTGTGTGTGCGGTTGGAAAGGCCACTCTGTCACTAAGGATCATATTGGGCCTGCGCTACAGCTGTGCTTTGGCAACAGAAACCAGTTTCACCAGATATTCACCACCACCGTCTGTTAACTTATAGCAACTTTATTCAGATTCGCTTTAATTTGGGTAATTTCACAACAATACAAAGAAGGGAACCAAAATAAAACATTATTTTACAAACCAACAATTTACCAGACAAAAACAATAAACTTAAAAAAGTCAATAATTTCCATTTGAATGATTGTTTTTCTCTTTCTACCAGAAATGAACGAACAAAAGTCGTCAGTTTGGTTCTTTAGTCTCAATTTGCAGCTTGTTTAAAAAGCAGTTTTGTTTACAGACTTCTTTGCCCATTTTATTTCTTTATTTATTCTGAATATTCAAAAATTACTTCCAGTTCCAGTGTTAAATTAGAAATTATCGTTTCTTGGTCTTTGAGAGAGTTAACTTGTATTATGTCGTATGTTACTTCCTTGACTCAGTCGCTGTTTTTTTTTATCGTCACAGCAGAGAAAATTCAACACGAATTTATTCGCCTGATTGATTTTTTTCAACAAATATTACCACCAAACTACAGGCAGGCCTCACTTCACATCAGAAATGCATCATTCGGTTATTTATCTGCTGTCCTCATCTGCACTGCAAAAACACAAAATCTAAGTATTCTGACCTGGTTTCTAGTGCAAATACATCAGGACAATCGAAATACTGTAAACAAGCTGCTGTGTGTTGGTGAAAAGTTACTTCTAAGTTAATTTTCCATGTTTCAAGCCGTGCTGAGATATTTGCACCAGAAAAATGCTGTAAGATTTTGTGTTTTTGCAGTGAGAAAACTCTCCTCCTTTTCCATTTTAGCCATTGTTCTGCATGTTTCCTCTGCTTGATCTTGAGATACGTTTTGAATTCCAGCCTTTAAGCCGTTTTCTGGCGTAGCTGTAAATCTTTATCGCCGAGCTGAAAGAACCGAATGGATGCCCTCCAGGAACTGAGATTGGGTTTTCTCTACTGGCTTTTAAATAATATGAAATGACACACAAACCCAAATATTCAGAGTCAAAACAGCCAACCTGGCAGCCTCAAATCTCTAATTAAGTCAAAAGTTAAGTTATTTCATTACGGGGTTGATCATTACCGACTCGTTGAAAGTGAAATAATTCCCCTCGCACAATCTTCCAGCCGTAGACGTATAAATGCCAAAGCAGCGCCGACGCAGCAGAATTTAAACATCCCTGGGTGATTTAAAGTGAGTTCAGCTGGCAGTCTGTCCAGCGAGTGCGTAAGTGTGAGTCTAAGTGCATTTTAGCGTTCGCTCTTGTAAAACAGAACGTCGACTCTTTCAGATTTCCAGTTTCTCTCTTTTGAGGTTTCAGATGAAAATCTCCTCAATTTTCCTGCGACGTTCGTCTGCAGGGAAGGAGCCGCGCCGTCTTTCTGTTGTTTTCCTAGACGTGAGCGAAAATAATCCAACATGCATGATTTAATACCGGCCCGAGAAAAACAAGAGAAACAGGGAAGACTGCGAGGTTCCGGTCCGGAAGAACCGAGACGAGAGGCGGGAAGAGCAGCACAACTTCAGCGTGTTTATCCTGAAGGAAAAGGAAAAAAGGTGCAAGAAAGAGTAAAAACCTATCAGGGTGAAGTTTTGGTATTTTAGGAATGAAAATGATTCATATAAATTATGTAATTACAAAATGAATTTATTTCAACATAAAAATTTAGCAAAAACTGCAGGCATCTCTGAATCTGATGAATTTTTGGTTTAAATGTTTGTTTTTCATTCAGTGGGTAGAAAATTCAGAAATAGAAATAATTCATAATAACGTGACTCAAGCAAAAGTAAAAATACTCCTAAAAGAATCGAAACGAGTAAATGTAACTGGTTACTTTCCAACTCTGGAAGTTACTTTGTTTCACCACAAAGTATGAAAATGTTGAGATTAATTTAACAAAAGTAAAAAAATAATCTTACTTTCCACTAATGTCTAAAAAGTTTTAAAGAAAGTTAAAATACTAATAAAATACTAATATCTAATATATTTTCACTCTATTAAGAGTAAAAACACTTCATAATAAAAACACCACCAAACTGTGACGTGGACTGAGGCTCGTAGGGTTCGGTCCAGAGTTCGGTACGCTTTCACACCTCCCCAAACGAACCGGGTTTTGACTGAACCGGGCTGAACCGGACCGGATGCTGCATTCCTGTTGTTTTGTAAACTCGGTCCAGTGGATCCCTCTGAAGACTTTCAGCTCCCGGTTTCCACAGTGACAAAGCGACCCGGCACCTTTCCGCTCGACACTCATCACGGTCGTCGTGAGCCGGGTTGCGGACCCGGAGTAGCTAACATTCCTCCAGATGGTCAGCGGGAACAGACAGAAAGCTCTGAGCCGTTTCTCTGATTCATGACTCAGCAGCGAACGCGGCGGCCTTGGTGCGGCGGCGGCCTTGGTGCGGCGGCGGCCTTGGTGCGGCGGCGGCGGCCTTGGTGCGGCGGCGGCGGCCTTGGTGCGGCGGCGGCCGTGGTGCGGCGGCGCAGGTTTGGACCCTGCTGGAACGTCCCGCTGCGGCTCAGACCGTACAAAGTGGACCACGTGCCGGACATCAAACATTGTTGTTTTTTAGAAACGGAGAAGAAGAGAGTCATTACGCTGGAAGAAATGAAAGCAGTCTGAGGCCATTCTGACCACAAAAGGGATAAATTAGGGTTTTCCTTTCTCCACTCAAAGGCCCAATTCTTCTGAAAAGCACCTTTTAAGCCACGGGTCTGGTTTCTTAGGCAATAACTGCTGAAACATTTGATTTAAAAGACTTGAGTTATTGTGGAGGTGCTGTTTAGTCTGCTTTAGTAGAACGCCAGTCACTTTCCCTTTAAGGTTTAGTTTGTTTGGGAAAAAAGGGAATAAATCGCCTACAAACCTCGACGTGAAATGAGTCTGTGAATAGCAAGTTATTCAAATTATATTCTGTTCTATTTTATTACTGTATACTATATTCTTTTTTATAACCCGTCAAAG